CCCAGCCCGCCAGACCCTCAGTCCACAGCCCCACCGCCAACCCAGCCCGCCAGACCCTCAGTCCACAGCCCCACCGCCAACCCAGCCCGCCAGACCCTCAGTCCACAGCCCCACCGCCAACCCAGCCCGCCAGACCCTCAGTCCACAGCCCCACCGCCAACCCAGCCCGCCAGACCCTCAGTCCACAGCCCCACCGCCAACCCAGCCCGCCAGACCCTCAGTCCACAGCCCCACCGCCAACCCAGCCCGCCAGACCCTCAGTCCACAGCCCCACCGCCAACCCAGCCCGCCAGACCCTCAGTCCACAGCCCCACCGCCAACCCAGCCCGCCAGACCCTCAGTCCACAGCCCCACCGCCAACCTAGCACCTGAGACCCTCAGTCCACAGCCCCACCGCCAACCCAGCCCACCAGACCCTCAGTCCACAGCCCCACCGCCAACCCAGCCCGCCAGACCCTCAGTCCACAGCCCCACCGCCAACCCAGCCCGCCAGACCCTCAGTCCACAGCCCCACCGCCAACCTAGCACCTGAGACCCTCAGTCCACAGCCCCACCGCCAACCCAGCCCGCCAGACCCTCAGTCCACAGCCCCACCGCCAACCCAGCCCGCCAGACCCTCAGTCCACAGCCCCACCGCCAACCTAGCACCTGAGACCCTCAGTCCACAGCCCCACCGCCAACCCAGCCCACCAGACCCTCAGTCCACAGCCCCACCGCCAACCCAGCCCGCCAGACCCTCAGTCCACAGCCCCACCGCCAACCCAGCCCGCCAGACCCTCAGTCCACAGCCCCACCGCCAACCTAGCACCTGAGACCCTCAGTCCACAGCCCCACCGCCAACCCAGCCCACCAGACCCTCAGTCCACAGCCCCACCGCCAACCCAGCCCGCCAGACCCTCAGTCCACAGCCCCACCGCCAACCCAGCCCACCAGACCCTCAGTCCACAGCCTCACCGCCAACCTAGCCCACCAGACCCTCAGTCCACAGCCCCTCCGCCAACCTAGCACCTGAGACCCTCAGTCCACAGCCCCACCGCCACCCTAGCCCACCAGACCCTCAGCCCACAGCCCCACCGCCAACCTAGCACCTGAGACCCTCAGTCCACAGCCCCACCGCCAACCTAGCACCTGAGACCCTCAGTCCACAGCCCCACCGCCAACCCAGCCCACCAGACCCTCAGTCCACAGCCCCACCGCCAACCCAGCCCACCAGACCCTCAGCCCACAGCCCCACCGCCAACCCAGCCCACCAGACCCTCAGTCCACAGGCCCACCGCCAACCCAGCACCTGAGACCCTCAGTCCACAGCCCCACCGCCAACCTAGCACCTGAGACCCTCAGTCCACAGCCCCACCGCCAACCTAGCCCACCAGACCCTCAGTCCACAGCCCCACCGCCAACCTAGCACCTGAGACCCTCAGTCCACAGCCCCACCGCCAACCTAGCCCACCAGACCCTCAGTCCACAGCCCCACCGCCAACCTAGCCCACCAGACCCTCAGTCCACAGCCCCACCGCCAACCTAGCACCTGAGACCCTCAGTCCACAGCCCCACCGCCAACCTAGCCCACCAGACCCTCAGTCCACAGCCCCACCGCCAACCCAGCACCTGAGACCCTCAGTCCACAGCCCCACCGCCAACCCAGCCCACCAGACCCTCAGTCCACAGCCCCACCGCCAACCCAGCCCACCAGACCCTCAGTCCACAGCCCCACCGCCAACCCAGCCCACCAGATCCTCAGTCCACAGCCCCACCGCCAACCCAGCCCACCAGACCCTCAGTCCACAGCCCCACCGCCAAGCTAGCCCACCAGACCCTCAGTCCACAGCCCCACTGCCAACCTAGCACCTGAGACCCTCAGTCCACAGCCCCACCGCCAACCTAGCCCACCAGACCCTCAGTCCACAGCCCCACCGCCAGCCCAGCCCACCAGACCCTCAGTCCACAGCCCCACCGCCAACCCAGCCCACCAGACCCTCAGTCCACAGCCCCACCCCCAACCTAGCCCACCAGACCCTCAGTCCACAGCCCCACCGCCAGCCTAGCCCACCAGACCCTCAGTCCACAGCCCCACCGCCAACCTAGCCCACCAGACCCTCAGTCCACAGCCCCACTGCCAACCTAGCACCTGAGACCCTCAGTCCACAGCCCCACCGCCAACCTAGCCCACCAGACCCTCAGTCCACAGCCCCACCACCAACCTAGCCCACCAGACCCTCAGTCCACAGCCCCACCGCCAACCCAGCCCACCAGACCCTCAGTCCACAGCCTCACCGCCATCCTAGCCCACCAGACCCTCAGTCCACAGCCCCACCGCCAACCCAGCCCACCAGACCCTCAGTCCACAGCCCCACCGCCAACCTAGCACCTGAGACCCTCAGTCCACAGCCCCACCGCCAACCCAGCCCACCAGACCCTCAGTCCACAGCCCCACCGCCAACCCAGCCCACCAGACCCTCAGTCCACAGCCCCACCGCCAACCCAGCCCACCAGACCCTCAGTCCACAGCCCCACCGCCAACCCAGCCCACCAGACCCTCAGTCCACAGCCCCACCGCCAACCTAGCCCACCAGACCCTCAGTCCACAGCCCCACCGCCAACCTAGCACCTGAGACCCTCAGTCCACAGCCCCACCGCCAACCTAGCACCTGAGACCCTCAGTCCAGAGCCCCACCGCCAACCTAGCCCACCAAGCCCTCAGTCCACAGCCCCACCGCCAACCTAGCCCACCAGACCCTCAGTCCACAGCCCCACCGCCAACCTAGCCCACCAGACCCTCAGTCCACAGCCCCACCGCCAACCCAGCCCACCAGACCCTCAGTCCACAGCCCCACCGCCAACCTAGCCCACCAGACCCTCAGTCCACAGCCCCACCGCCAACCTAGCCCACCAGAGCCTCAGTCCACAGTCCCAGTGTCTCCCCACAAAAGACCTCACACTCAAGCCATGCTCCGGTGCCTTCTATAGGGCTTTTCAGTCTTGATGCTTTTACCCCGTGTCTCTGGGTTGGCTTTTTCTATGGACATCAGTTGAAATTTGTTTTAGTTCCTTCTGGAAGGGAGATGCTGTGGTCAGCCGGTTCTACATGGGAAAAGCAGGGCAAAGAAGAGTTCATTTTTGGCCAAAATTGAGCAACAAAAGCAGCTTAGAAGGGAAGTGGATTTTAGCAGGGCATCGCTACAGAGCTGAAACAAATTTGTGAAACAAGCCAGGTTCTGCCCGAAGGTGACATTTAAGAGTAATGTGCTAGCTGGGAGCTGGTGGGCCTCTCTGTAGTCCCAGCTGCTCAGGGCTGAGATCTCAGTTATTATCTGGGTTGTTCTCTGATAGGGATGAATCAGGCAGACTGCCCCTTACTGGCCGGGACACCTGGCTCCTGTTGTCTGAAATGGCTGTAGCCAGGTGTTAGCTGTAGGGGTCACGGTACCAATGACATCTCTTCCCAGGGGTCACGGTACCAATGGCCTGTCCTGTCCCAGGGGTCACAGTACCAAGGGCCTGTTGCTTCCTGGAGCCAGATCTCCAGGCTGCTGGCTGGAGGAGGTGGTCCCCCGGGATCCATCTCTGCTCTTTTGGGAGTTGCTCTCTCTCTCCCCTTCAGCCTTGCTTTGTGGCGGTTTCTGTAGCAGCTCAGCAGGGAGTGTCTGGGCCTTGGGGTCGGTTGTTGGGAGGCCGCCTCCGTGCTTCAGTCCTGTTCTAAGGCCGGCTATGGACACGTCCCCTCGCGCCTGTGAGCCAGGCCAGGATCGTGGCTCAGCTCAGCTCCACGGGACAGCCACGGTCCTAGGCTGCCAGCATCTCCCCGCCTCTCCAGCACGGTGCCCACACAGCGGGTCCTCCCGCCCCCTCCAGGCTGTCTTGGCTGACCCCCCTTGTCCTTCCCGAGGAAACGCCCCTGGGGTTGTCCCGCTCCTGGGCTGACACGAGCCCGCGGCTCCTGCTGCTTCCTCTAGAAACCACTGGCAGCGGCCAGTCGGGGCCGGCAGGAGCCGGCACGGGTGTGCAGCGCCGGGCAAGGTGGCTGCTGCCTGTCCTGAGCCACCCGCGGGGCTGCCTGCATCCCACTCTGAGCTGACGCCGAGCAGCCTGCTCTCCCGAGACGCCCTTGTCACAGAAGCCAGTGCTTCAGCTGCCGCAGACCATTTCCACGGTGCCGGCCGCCCACCCGCCCGCAGCGGGCAGCCAGTGATGGGCTGGATGCCTGGAGCCAGCACGAGGTGCCGGCGGCCTCTGAACGCCGCCGACCCCTCTGCTTCCCTGCTTAGCAGCCAGGCCGCGAGTTCACCACCTTGGCTGGCTTTGAAGAGCTGAGCTCTGGTTCAATCACCACGTCCTCCCGACTCCTCCACAGGCTCAAGGACCGGGCCAGGGCGGCAGCCCGGTACTACGGCCCAGCCCCGAAACAGCCAAGGCCTGGCTGCACTGCACGTCCTAGCCCTCCAGGTGCCCCAACCCCACCCGCACCCCTTGGCATAGCGCCACTGTGCGCGTGCCAGCCCCTCCCACGCGCAGCCCCCACGGTGACCGGCTGCCCGCACACACCAGCTCCGTGCACGGATGCGGTGCAGTCCGCCATCAGCCCCCACCTCCTCCCTCCCACTGTAGCCCCTGCCACTGGCACCAGGTGAGCCCAAGACGCTCTGCCACGCCCTTGGTGCTGCTCAGGTGCCCCACCACCTCCATCCAGCCCCCGGCCTCAGCCCGTAGCAGAGCAGGTGAGCGGGGGAACGAGGCTGGGGGAGGCGCAGGTGCAGCGCATGCCCTGTCCAGAAGCCTGGCTGGCGGCGGGCCGCGGTCAGCGCAAGCGCCGCCCTGCGGCCGACCTGGCTGGAGACAAGGCCACGGTGGCCAGCCCTGGCCTCCAACTTCAAGGTACGACACAGGCGCATCCTGGGACTCGTTTTCTAGAAAATGTACTTTATTGGCGGGATGGGGACGTAATCAATGGAAAAGAATAAATACACCGCCCGCCCGCCCCGCTGGCTCCGCTCGGCGCCGCCACGCGGCACCCCAGCCAGCCCGGAGGCGTCCCGCCCCACGGCGTCCCCCTCCCCACGCCTGGGCCACCCACGGGGGCCTGGAAGAGGCTGCTCCGTGCCTGGTGCTGGAGGAGTCCGAGGAGGGATGTGGCCAAGGGGCACGGCGGGGCGCGCGGGCCACACCAGCCAGGGGCAGGCCGCCCTGCCCCGCGGCACTGCTCAGACCTGCAGTCTCCGCAGAGCAGGCGTGAGTCAGTTCCTTCTCAGTGCACTCGATCCACGCAGAGGCCCAGGCTCCATCGGGGGTCACAGGAAACCACCGGCTGGGCCCACAGGCCTTCCCACCTGAACAGAGCCCACCGCCACAGGCCTGCGGTGGCGTCCCCGGACGGCAGAGCAGAGGGCTCAGCCCTGCGGCTCCGGGCAGGCGGACTCGTGGCCCTCTGGTCACCCCAGCACCTCGGGGCCTCCCGCTGCGGTCGCGGTCCGCGGGCCCTGGCTGCAGCTCCTCACGGCCGCTCCCCGCATCTAGGCCTGGGCCTGAGCCTCCACTCGAGGGGCGCTACGCAGGCCTGAGGGAGGCAGCCTCCGCCCGGGACACGCCACGGGTGGCCCCAGACGGGCCCCCGGGCCGGCAAGGCCCGCGGTGCAGACGTGCCGGCGGCTCAGTACGCAATCTTCCAGTGGGTGGGCTGTTCACAGGCTTTTTCTTGGTCTCCACAAAATCGGTTGTATGTTGTTTTGGGGTCCAACCCCAGGATTTCTCTCTCCTCGTGAATCCGAAAAGAAAACGTGGAGACAGAGGTGCCGATAAAAAACCTGCAAAGTAGCGAATGGCATGTTTGCCAGGAGCAGCCACGTGGGGCGTAGCCAGGGCTCGGCCTCCGCAGGGAGCGCTGGCCGGGGCCGGATTCCCACGCTCTGGGGTCCTGACGCCGCTGGGCGACCGTGGGAGCGACCATGGCATCCAGCTGACAGGGAGCGGGGCCTGCGTGGCGCTGGGGCAGTGCTGGTGCCACCTGCGGCCAGGCTGCCCGAGGCGGGGCTGCTCCCACCGCAGCCGGGACCACCCGAGCGGGAAACCGCCGCGCGGCCGAGGGGCCGGCCCTCAGAGCACCCCGCCCCCCCCAGGAGGCCCTCAGAGCACCCCGACCCCCCAGGAGGCCCTCAGAGCACCCCGCCCCCCCAGGAAGCCCTCAGAGCACCCCCGACCCCCCAGGAGGCCCTCAGAGCACCCCCGCCCCCCCAGGAGGCCCCCTCAGAGCACCCCCGCCCCCCCAGGGGCCCCCTCAGAGCACCCCGCCCTCTGAGGAGCCAGCTTTCAGAGCACCCCGCCCCCCCAGGAAGCCCTCAGAGCACCCCGCCCCCCCAGGAAGCCCTCAGAGCACCCCGCCCCCCCCAGGAGGCCCCCTCAGATCACTCCCGACCCCCCAGGAGGCCCTCAGATCACCCCCGCCCCCCCAGGAGGCCCTCAGATCACCCCGCCCCCCCAGGAGGCCCTCAGAGCACCCCCGACCCCCCAGGGGCCCCCTCAGAGCACCCCGCCCTCTGAGGAGCCGGCCCTCAGATCACCCCCGACTCCCCAGGAGGCCCTCAGAGCACCCCCGACCCCCCAGGAGGCCCTCAGATCACCCCCGCCCCCCCAGGAGGCCCTCAGAGCACCCCGCCCCCCCAGGAGGCCCTCAGAGCACCCCCGCACCCCCCAGGGGCCCCCTCAGAGCACCCCGCCCCCCCATTCCCCTGGAGGCCCTCAGAGCACCCTGCCCCCCGAGGAGCCAGCCCTTAGGGCACCCCCGCCACCCCAGGAGGCCCTCAGAGCACCCCCGCCACCCCAGGAGGCCCTCAGAGCACCCCCGCCACCCCCAGGGGGCCCTCTCAGAGCACCCAGCCCCCCAGGAGGCCCTCAGAGCACCCCCCCAGGCCCTCAGGGCACCCCCGCCCCCCGAGGAGCCAGCCCTCAGGGCACCCCGCCCCCCCAGGAGGCCCTCAGCACCCCTGCCCCCCCAGAGCACCCCCGCCCCCCCAGGGGGCCCCCTCAGAGCAGCCCCGTGGGCGCAGGCCTGGCCTGGCAGTGGCTTCCCCTGGAGCAGCATCAGTGCACGCCCTGCACAACCATGAGAACTGGCGCCGGCCGGGCATCGCCAGCGGCGGGAGGAGGGCGGTGACGGGGATGGCCACGGTGAGGCGCCACGCTGTGGCGTGTGGCTGGGAGGAGAACCTTCCGGCAGGGCGGACGCAGGTACCTGGCGTGGGCACAGATCCACTGGTCGATGATGGCCACGCCGCCGTCCTTGTACAGCTCCAGCTCCTCCCAGGTGGGCTCAAACCGCACCATTTCCGGCAACAGCTTCTTCAGCTCTTCCTGCTCTGCAAGGCAGAGGGCAGGCGGCGGGCCGGCGTTGGCCGTGAGCAGCATGTGCACGCGCACGCCGCCCGCAGCCCCTCAGGTCCCTCAGCCGGGCCTCCCGTGCCCAGGCTGCCCGGCATTTCATCAAGCTACAGAGAAATAAGGCCAGGTGCTGGTGGTCATATGCATAATCCTAACTACTCCGGAGGCTGCGATAGCGGTTCAAAGCCAGCCCAGGCAGGGAAGTCCGTGAGGCCCTTACCTCTAACTAACTACCAGAAAACCAGACGTGGCGCTGTGGCTAAGCGGTAGAACTCACCCAGGTGAGCCAAAGAGCTGCCTTGCCCTGAGCACTGGCCCTGAGAGCACTGGCCCCGAGTTCAAGACCCAAGACCACCAAAAACTAAGATAAAGAGAAATGAGGTTGGGGCTCAGCGCTGTGTACCCTTCCTGAGGGCGTCTGTGGGTCGCCTACCCTTCCTGATGGCGTCGGTGGCCACAAACACCCTGTCCAGCCCGTGTGTCTGCATGAGGCTCCGGATCTTCCTCACGGCCCCCTCCAGGCTGGGCACGTCCTCCCTGTGTCCCCAGATGAAGTCCTTCCTCCTCAGGTGGACGCCCAGGTACGGGCCCCCCAGCGAGGAGCCCAGCCTGACCTGTGGGGACACAGCGGTCGGGCAGGGACGCCGGCATGGGGCCTGGCACGCTCTGCAGCTCTGGTTCCGAGTGGGGAACTGGTCTTCAATCGCGGGGGACACTTTTACCGCGCGAATCAGTAAAAGAACCGTCAGCTTCCTATTTTCTTTTCACTCAGGACTGACGACCCAAGTAACTTAACCAGGGGAGCTCGAGCGCCTGCCCAGCACAGCGCCAGGCCAGTGACGGCTGTGTGGAGAGGCCTGAGCGCCCGGCACAGCGCCAGGCCCGGTGGGTCCCGGGACGGGGCGCTCACAAGGCCGAGGCCTGCTTCCTGGGAGCCAGCGTGGCGCTGTTAACATGCCTGCGACGGTGGGTCAGGAAGTGGGTGGTCTCAGGACGGCACAGCTTCTCTCTCCCTTTGCTATGAGCGGTGAAACCACGTGGGGCGCTCTTGCACCCCGCCCCCCCCCAGAAGAAACCTCACGGCGAGGTCCCTCCGCCGCTCAGGGAAGAGGCCCGAGCCGCGTCCTCCAGCCTCCTTCGCGCTGAAGCAGTGTCCACAGGAGGCCGACACGAGCCCTGAGCTGACCTGAGTGTAGAGACGACCTGGCGACCCCTCCTACCTTCATCTGCAGCCAGTCCTCCTGGAACGGGATGCGGTCCGCCGCATCTGTGGAGTTGAGGTGCTTGCTCCTGAACTCGTCCCCCACCGCCCGCAAGTGCCTGGCGAACACCATGCTCCGCCGCGTCTGCGGGAACGGGGCGGGGCTGAGCGGAGGCTGCGCCACCAGCCCCCCGTGGGCCGCACAGCAGGGCAGGGCCCGCACAGCAGGCGGTGGGCGCCACCAGCCTGAACCGTGGAGGACAGCCCCGCAAGTACTCACGTCCCAGTACTCCTTCCCCCCGTAGTGGTCGTGAAGCAGGTTTTCCGCTCGGTCCAGCATCACAGACCTGTTTTTAACCACAGAGAAGTGAGAAGGGATCTGGACCACCCAGCCCCCCGCACGACACCCCGTGCCCCCACCAAACACCAGGCTCTTCTGTGCCTTGCAGACAACAGAAAGAGATCAGATCAGGCTTAGGACCTAGATGTTCCCTTCAGAGGCCGCATGGACCCACGCCGGCCCCTCCAGGCTGGGCTCAGGCCGGTAGCCACACGGTGCTACACTCTCCAATCACCACACCCACGAGGCAGAGGCGGGACAGGGAGGGCGGCTTCTCCACCATCACGGGACCCGCCGCGCTAGACCAGGACACATCTCCAGCCCACACAGGCCGAGCCAGCCCAGCTCCCGCCACGTGCAGCAGGCTCTTCCCAGCCTCGCCCCGCCCGGCTGGACCCCACCGCACACCTGACATCCGGGTGGACAGAGCCAGGAGTGCGCCCGGCGCAGCACCCGCTGCAATCTGGGTACTGTGAGGGTGCTGGAGGATGGGGGCCACGCGCACCCGCAGCGCGGGAGCCCTGGGCTGTCCACACTGGCGGTCCCTGGGCTCCCAGGACACCTGCAACCTCCCCGTCCTCCCGCAAGGCCCACACCGGCGGTCCCTGGGCTCCCAGGACACCTGCAACCTCCCCGTCCTCCCGCAAGGCCCACACCGGCGGTCCCTGGGCTCCCAGGACACCTGCAACCTCCCCGTCCTCCCGCAAGGCCCTTGTCCTGTAAGGGGCCGTGGGCGTCTGATGCCCCCCTCCGTGCCCGGTCCAGGTCCCCTCGCTAGCTGACCTGAGCGGAGTGCCCCACACTCACCGAGCAGAAGTGTTTTCCAGAAGCACAGGCGCTATGACAGAGGCCGACCCCTGGACGGACAGACAGGAGACGTTGAGGCCTCTGGTTTCTTCATAGCCCCAAAACCAGCCCCTGGAAAATAAGGCCACCACGTCAGCGGCCAGCTCCCACCGGGCGAGAGGTCGTGCGCACACGCGAGCTCCCACCGGGCGAGAGGTCGTGCGCACACGCGTGCTCCCACCGGGCGAGAGGTCGTGCGCACACGCGTGCTCCCACCGGGCGAGAGGTCGTGCGCACACGCGTGCTCCCATCCGGACGAGAGGTCGTGCGCACACGCGTGCTCCCACCGGACGAGAGGTCGTGCGCACACGCGTGCTCCCACCGGACGAGAGGTCGTGCGCACACGCGTGCTCCCACCGGGCGAGAGGTCGTGCGCACACGCGTGCTCCCACCGGGCGAGAGGTCGTGCGCACACGCGTGCTCCCACCGGGCGAGAGGTCGTGCGCACACGCGTGCTCCCACCGGGCGAGAGGTCGTGCGCACACGCGTGCTCCCACCGGGCGAGAGGTCGTGCGCACACGCGTGCTCCCACCGGGCGAGAGGTCGTGCGCACACGCGTGCTCCCATCCGGGTGAGAGGTCGTGCGCACACGCGTGTTCCCATCCGGGTGAGAGGTCGTGCGCACACGCGTGCTCCCACCGGACGAGAGGTCGTGCGCACACGCGTGCTCCCACCGGACGAGAGGTCGTGCGCACACGCGTGCTCCCATCCAGGCGAGAGGTCGTGCGCACACGCGTGCTCTATCCGGGTGAGAGGTGTGCACACGTGTGCTCTATCTGGGTGAGAGGTCGTGCGCACACGCGTGCTCCCATCCGGATGAGGTCGTGCGCACACGCGTGCTCTATCCGGGTGAGAGATCGTGCGCACACGCATGCTCCCATCCAGATGAGGTCGTGTGCACACGCATGCTCCCATCCAGATGAGGTCGTGTGCACACGCGTGCTCCCATCCGGATGAGAGGTCATGTGTACACGCGTGCTCCCATGTGGGTGAGAGGTCGTGCGCACACGCGTGCTCCCATCCGGGTGAGAGGTCGTGTGCACACACATGTTCTCATCCGGATGAGAGGTCGTGTGCACACGTGTGTTTCCATCCGGGTGAGAGGTCGTGTGCACACGTGTGTTCCCATCCGGGCGAGAGGTCGTGCGCACACGCGTGTTCCCATCCAGGTGAGAGGTCGTGCGCACACGCGTGCTCCCATCTGGGTGAGAGGTCGTGTGCACACGCGTGCTCCCATCCGGGTGAGAGGTCATGTGCACACGTGCTCCTATCTGGGTAAGAGGCCATCATGGGCATGCACACACGTGCTCTTACCCAGGTAAGAGTTGTGACATTATGTGCACACGTGTGCAAGTATGGTCCTGATAAAAACCAAGTGCTCAGGACCAGGGTGGCAGGCAGTGGCTCCAGTGAGTGGGGGCCTCAAGTAAAAGGAACCACAAGAACCGAGACAGGTCTCTAAGGGAGGAGCGGGCAGACCAGAGGAGGACGGAGCTTTCCACGGCCCTGGTTCAGCGCACAGGCAGCAGCCTGCACTCTATGGTCAGGCTCTTCCTTCCCTCTCGAGGCCAGTCCCGGCTGTGCGCAGGGAGGTGCTCTAGCACCTGAGCCGTCGCTGGCTCGCCCGCCGTCCCCGCACCAGAGGCAGGCAGGGGACCGTGAGGCCACCAGGGCCAGGTGTCTCCAGACAGTGCAGAGTACCAGGGGGCCCTCGCCCTGCTCAGATGGGTCTCCTATACCTGTAGTACTCGTGCTTGTCCTGGGAGTACAGCAGCGGATCAATGCACGGTCGTCCATCCACCTTCTCCTCCCAAGTGCCCTCTTTCCAGCCTTCTGCGTAACCTTGCAGGACGTACACCTGGTCAATGAAGGGCCCACCAGACTCTGAAAAACAAGGAAGCACAGGGAAACCATGGCCCCAGGTACGCTCACAGACATACCCCGGGCCACGGGTGCGGCTGTGACTTTTCCTATTCTCAGAGGCCTGGTGGAAGCAGACAATATAGAAGACAGGCTCGGCGTCATCGGCACAGAGGGCCTGGAGGCAGGCGGGGCCTGGCCTCTCCACGGGCTCCCTGGGCCATCTTCTTGCTCCTGCTGCCCGGACAGGCCAGGAGGCCTGGCTTCACCAGAGGGCGCCTGCGCCTGCACCCCGCCCCGGCTGACCTGCCGGAGCCACTCCTTCCTCTGGCTGGCTCTGCCCCACGAGACTGCCTCACTGCTACCCCGCTCCCCACCACCATCCAAGAGCCTCCTACCACAGAGCGCTCCTGCTGAGGATTTGCCCAAAGGCAGGACACTGTCTTCACATGGCTCACAATCAGGGGCTCAAAGCTCGGGCCTGAGCCCCTCTTCCACCACCGGTGGAGGCGGAGTCACTGCCCACTGAGCGCTGTGCAGCACCAGCAGCGCCCCATCCACGGGAAGGAAGCAAGTCAGCCCACACCTGCCCGGCCAGTGTCTCCAGGAAGCCCAGCGCCCCGCAGGGCTCCCGCGCGCCCGGAACAGCAGAGGGACCCTTTACCAAAGCCAGCCGGAGGTTAAGTCCTCCAAAGAACCCCCTCACAACAAGGCCGGAGAAGGCAGCAGGGTGACCGGGTGCCTTGGGGACCCTGGGAGCCCACGCAGGGGCAGCACCAGCCGCCTACTTCCCCGCAGGAGCTCTGACCGCACCCACCTTCTCAGCAAGCCGTGGGGGAGGAGGGAAGGGGTGTGGCAGGTGGGCGCGCGCGGGCAGCTGGCCGGAGGGAGAGCGGGCAAGGTGGGCGCAGCGGTGAGGAAGGACTGGCCTGATCAGCGCCCTCCCCGCAGCCTCACCTGCGATGAACTGCTCGTACTCGATGACAGGGATGTTCTTGTTCAGACTCGGGAGGTCAAAGAACTCCGCCCAGGGGATGCGGACCTGGTGAATGTCGGGGCTCTGCCAGTGGTAGAGGCGACCCCACGGGGGCAGCACGAGCACCCACTCCTCCGTCTTCAGCAGCGTCTTCAGCAGTGAGGCCACGCGGATGTAGACATCCCTGCGGAGGTTGAAGCCTTCGGGGGGATTGACGTCGTACAGCAGGTAGCTGACAGGCGGGGAGCAGCACGCGGCTCTCGTGAGGCCATGCACACGCGCCTGCCGCCAACACCACGCCTCCCACTACGGCACCCACCCTCCTGGTTCCGGGACAGTCGCCTCCAAAGCCACTGGTATGAGCAGTGGCCATCCCAGGGCACTCAACACCTCGCCTGGCCAGTAGCTGGGCCTGGGAAGCAGTGCACGTTTCTCATGGTGGTCTAACGAGAGCTGGGAGATCTACTGATTGCCAGGAATGCGGAATCTACCCCCGTGTTGGAGCTGAAGCTGGAAGTGCCCGCTAGCTTACTCCAAGTAACAAGCATCTCATTACATGTCAAAACCTTCAAAATAAAACCAGTAAAATGAACAGCCATGCTTTTAATTCCTGCAATCTTACTTGGGGTCTGGCATGGCTATCTCTTGTATCTCTGCTTCCAGCTCATGGCACGGGCCAGGGGAACGCTGGAAAACTCCACAGTGCGTTTATGAGAAGGAAGAAAGGCGAGCAGCATCTGGACTCCATAGGAGAGCCATTCAGAAACCACCGTCCTCTCTGGGCTCCCGACTCCCAGGAGGCTGTCAGGGCTCTCAGTGTCAGTCTCACCTGCTCCACCACTCTCCAGCAGACAGCCCAGAGCAAGGGCGCGGGCTGGTTGGGATCTGCTTGAGCAGGGTGCCCACTGCTGGGCAAGGCAGCCTGCCTCTGGATTCTATCCACCAGTGCCCACCATGGCCCGGGACATTGACCCAGGCTCTGCCCACCCAGCCTTGCCCAGGTCCTTCCTGGCCAAGGTCTCCTTGGGATGCAGATGAATGAGGACAATCAGAGCAAGCCTGAGTGGGGACGACCCTTCAGGGGGCAGCGGACCCCCGAACCCTGGCCTGTCCCGACCCCTCGATCCAAACCTTGACTAGTCTCGGGACCCCTCCCTAGACCCCCTCCCCAGACGAGATCCCAGAGCCCTCCCTGAACCCCAGGTCCCCCCTCACCTCCTCCCCCAGTACTGTGGACACCCCCAAACCAGGTCCCAGAGCCCTCCCTGAACCCTAGGTCCCCCCCTCCCCCAGTCCTGTGCACCCCCCAGACTAGGTCCCAGAGTCCTCCCTGAACCCCAGGCCCCCCTCCTCCCCGAGTCCTGTGGACCCCGCAGACCAGGTCCCAGAGCCCTCCCTGAACCCCAGGTCCCCCTCCTCCCCAAGTCCTGTGGACCCCCCAGACTAGGTCCCAGAGCCCTCCCTGAACCCCAGGCCCCCCTCACCTCCTCCCCCAGTCCTGTGGACCCCCCAGACCAGGTCCCAGAGCCCTCCCTGAACCCCAGGCCCCCCTCCTCCCCGAGTCCTGTGGACCCCCCAGACCAGGTCCCAGAGCCCTCCCTGAACCCCAGGCCCCCCTCCTCCCCGAGTCCTGTGGACCCCCCAGACCAGGTCCCAGAGCCCTCCCTGAACCCCAGGCCCCCCTCCTCCCCGAGTCCTGTGGACGCCCCAGACCAGGTCCCAGAGCCCTCCCTGAACCCCAGGCCCCCCTCCTCCCCGAGTCCTGTGGACCCCCCAGACCAGGTCCCAGAGCCCTCCCTGAACCCCAGGCCCCCCTCCTCCCCGAGTCCTGTGGACCCCCCAGACCAGGTCCCAGAGCCCTCCCTGAACCCCAGGCCCCCCTCCTCCCCGAGTCCTGTGGACCCCCCAGACCAGGTCCCAGAGCCCTCCCTGAACCCCAGGCCCCCCTCCTCCCCGAGTCCTGTGGACCCCCCAGACCAGGTCCCAGAGTAATCCCTGAACCCCAGGCCCCCCTCACCTCCTCCCCGAGTCCTGTGGACCCCCCAGACCAGGTCCCAGAGTAATCCCTGAACCCCAGGCCCCCCTCCTCCCCAAGTCCTGTGGACCCCCCAGACTAGGTCCCAGAGCCCTCCCTGAACCCCAGGCCCCCCCACCCGAGCCCAGCCCGTGCTGACCCGGTCCGTAGGCCCCGCGGCGGCCCCTGGTCTCCACCCCGTCCGCGGGCCCTCTGACCCCTCTGACCCCTCTGACCCCGCCCGCGGCCCCGCCGCCCCGCCCATGCGCCGACCCCGCCGCGGACGCCGGGCGCGCTCACCGCCTGCGGGACGCCGCCGCGGACAGGATGTCGGCCGCCGACTGTCCGGGCCAGAACTCCTCACCCGAGGCCGCGGCCGGCCGCCAGGACGCCAGCCCGAGCAGCAGGCAGACGACGCCGAGAGCCGCCATGGCCCCGGCGGCCACGCACTTCCGGCGCCTCCGCCCCACCCCGGAAGCTCGTTTTCCCGCCCCCGCGGAATGCGTCTCCGTAACCGTGGCAACACGGGGAAGGCCGCCCAGCCTGCGATTTCGTCGCCTAGAGGCGAAGGCGCCTTTTCCCGGGCGGGGCGTGTCCCGAGAGGGGCGTGTCCCGGGGCGGGGCGTGTCACGAGAGGGGCGTGTTCTGGGCGGTGCCTGGTCTGGGGGCGGGGCGTGTCCCGGGGCGGGGCGTGTCCCGGGCGCGGGGCGTGTCCCGGGAGGGGCGTGTTCTGGGCGGTGCCCTGTCTGAGGCGGTGCCTTGTCTGGGGGCGTGCCCTGTTCTGGGGGCGGGGCCTCCCTGGGGCGGGGCGTGTCCCGGGAGGGGCGTGTTCTGGGCGGTGCCTGGTCTGGGGGCGGGGCGTGTCCCGGGCGCGGGGCGTGTCCCGGGAGGGGCGTGTTCTGGGCGGTGCCCTGTCTGAGGCGGTGCCTTGTCTGGGGGCGTGCCCTGTTCTGGGGGCGTGGCTTCCTGGGGCGGGGCGTGTCCGGGGGCGGGGCGAGTCCCGGGCCGGGCGGAGGGCGCCACCCCCGCTTCAGCGCCGGCGGAGCCCTGGGGCTCGTGGCCGGTGCCGGCCTCGGGGAGGCGGCCTCTCCTCCGGCTCTGCGGGGCGCGGCCTCGGGGACCGCGCTCCGCCGGGCAGGCCGGGGACGGCGCCGGCCCCGCGGGAAGCGGAGCGCGGGGTCCGCGCGGTCCGGGGCCGCGAGAGGGCAGCCGAGCGCCGGGCCGGCGCGGTTCCGCCGCTGCTGGGTCCGCCGGCCCGCGCGCTGCGGGGCTCGTGTCGGCGGCCCGGCCCGGCCCTGCCCGCGGCCGAGCGGAGCGGCGCCCGGGCCGCCGGGCTCCTGGGGACGGTCCCGCCGAGCGCGCGGCCCCGCGGCCCGCATCGCGCCCGCGCCCGCCCCGCGTCGGGCCGCCGCTCGCGGCCGGGTCTCCGGCCGGGTCGCAGCCAGGACGAGGGACAGTCACGCGCGCTCTGGTCGTGTTAGCTGCGGTGACCGCGCTTGCGCGCCCCGAGGCCCACGCGCCCCGAGATCCACGCGGCCGGGACCCACGGGGCCCAAGATCCACGGGGCCCGAGATCCACGGGGCCCAAGATCCACGGGGCCCGAGATCCACGGGGCCCGAGATCCACGGGGCCCGGGATCCACGGGGCCCGAGATCCACGGGGCCCGGGATCCACGGGGCCCGGGATCCACGGGGCCCGGGATCCACGCGGCCGGGACCCACGCGGCCCGAGATCCACGGGGCCCGGGATCCACGGGGCCCGGGATCCACGCGGCCCGGGATCCACGGGGCCCGGGATCCACGCGGCCCGAGATCCACGGGGTCCGGGATCTACGCGGCCCGGGATCCACGCGGCCCGAGATCCACGCGGCCCGAGATCCACGCGGCCCGAGATCCACGCGGCCGGGACCCACGCGGCCCGAGATCCACGGGGCCCGCGATCCACGGGGTCCGGGATCTACGCGGCCCGGGACCCACGCGGCCGGAGATCCACGGGGCCCAAGATCCACGGGGCCCGCGATCCACGTGGCCGGGGCCCACGCGGCCCGGGATCCACGCGGCCCGAGATCCACGGGGCCCGGGATCCATGCGGCCGGGACCCATGCGGCCCGGGACCCACGCGGCCAGTACCCACGCGGCCCAAAATCCGCAGGGCCCGGGATCCAAGCAGCCAGGACCCACGGGGTCCAAGATCCACGGGGCCCGGGACCCACGCAGCCCGGACCCACGGGGCCCAGAGCCACGAAGCCTGAGATCCACGCAGCCTGAGATCCACGCGGCCGGGACCCATGGGGCCTGGGATCCACGCGGCCGGGGCCCACCGGGCCCGAGATCCACGTGGCCTGGAGCCAGTGGAGCCCTGCTGGGCTTGAGTAAGGGCCTCAGTGGCGCCCTGGAGCAGAAGACCTGGGAGCTGGTGCTGGGAAGGGGGTGGCAGCCACATGGTCATTGTGTGGTGCTCTGACACGTGGTCAGTGTGTGGTGCTCTGTCCCTGTGGGGACACGCTGTGCTGGCACGCCCCGTGTGTCCCTGTGGCTGTGGGGACACGCTGTGCTGGGACGCCCCGTGTGTCCCTGTCCCTGTGGGGACACGCTGTGCTGGGACGCCCCGTGTGTCCCTGTGGGGACACGCTGTGCTGGCACGCCCCGTGTGTCCCTGTGGCTGTGGGGACACGCTGTGCTGGCACGCCCCGTGTGTCCCTGTGGCTGTGGGGACACGCTGTGCTGGCACGCCCCGTGTGTCCCTGTGGCTGTGGGGACACGCTGTGCTGGGACGCCCCGTGTGTCCCTGTCCCTGTGGGGACACGCTGTGCTGGGACGCCCCGTGTGTCCCTGTGGGGACACGCTGTGCTGGCACGCCCCGTGTGTCCCTGTGGCTGTGGGGACACGCTGTGCTGGCACGCCCCGTGTGTCCCTGTGGCTGTGGGGACACGCTGTGCTGGCACGCCCCGTGTGTCCCTGTGGCTGTGGGGACACGCTGTGCTGGGACGTCCCGTGTGTCCCTGTGGGGACACGCTGTGCTGGCACGCCCCGTGTGTCCCTGTCCCTGTGGGGACACGCTGTGCTGGCACGCCCCGTGTGTCCCTGTCCCTGTGGGGACACGCTGTGCTGGGACACCCCGTGTGTCCCTGTCCCTGTGGGGACACGCTGTGCTGGCACGCCCCGTGTGTCCCTGTGGCTGTGGGGACACGCTGTGCTGGCACGCCCCGTGTGTCCCTGTGGGGACACGCTGTGCTGGCACGCCCCGTGTGTCCCTGTGGGGACACGCTGTGCTGGGACGCCCCGTGTGTCCCTGTCCCTGTGGGGACACGCTGTGCTGGCACGCCCCGTGTGTCCCTGTCCCTGTGGGGACACGCTGTGCTGGGACGTCCCGTGTGTCCCTGTGGCTGTGGGGACACGCTGTGCTGGCACGCCCCGTGTGTCCCTGTGGCTGTGGGGACACGCTGTGCTGGCACGCCCCGTGTGTCCCTGTGGCTGTGGGGACACGCTGTGCTGGCACGTCCCGTGTGTCCCTGTCCCTGTGGGGACACGCTGTGCTGGCACGCCCCGTGTGTCCCTGTGGCTGTGGGGACACGCTGTGCTGGGACGCCCCATGTGTCCCTGTCCCTGTGGGGACACGCTGTGCTGGCACGCCCCGTGTGTCCCTGTGGCTGTGGGGACACGCTGTGCTGGGACGCCCCGTGTGTCCCTGTGGCTGTGGGGACACGCTGTGCTGGGACGTCCCGTGTGTCCCTGTCCCTGTGGGGACACGCTGTGCTGGGACGCCCCGTGTGTCCCTGTCCCTGTGGGGACACGCTGTGCTGGCACGCCCCGTGTGTCCCTGTGGCTGTGGGGACACGCTGTGCTGGGACAGCCCGTGTGTCCCTGTGGGGACACGCTGTGCTGGCACGCCCCGTGTGTCCCTGTGGCTGTGGGGACACGCTGTGCTGGGACGCCCCGTGTGTCCCTGTGGGGACACGCTGTGCTGGGACGCCCCGTGTGTCCCTGTGGGGACACGCTGTGCTGGCACGCCCCGTGTGTCCCTGTGGGGACACGCTGTGCTGGGACGCCCCGTGTGTCCCTGTGGCTGTGGGGACACGCTGTGCTGGCACGCCCCGTGTGTCCCTGTCCCTGTGGGGACACGCTGTGCTGGCACGCCCCGTGTGTCCCTGTGGCTGTGGGGACACGCTGTGCTGGGACGCCCCGTGTGTCCCTGTGGCTGTGGGGACACGCTGTGCTGGGACGCCCCGTGTGTCCCTGTGGCTGTGGGGACACGCTGTGCTGGCACGCCCCGTGTGTCCCTGTGGCTGCAGGCTATTCTCTGTGCCAGTCATGGCGTCCTGCATGCAAAAGCTGTGTTCTCCACGGACCGTGCAGCCGCTGGCCAGCGTGGGGCTCCTGGCCGGTCCTCCATCCCAACCTGCAGGGACACTGCGCGGAGCTACGCCGCCGCCTGCCAAGCCCCCTGTTTATTACTTTTATTTCTGTTGCCTCTAAGTAGCTGTACAAGGAAGTTCCGGGTCTGCAGCAGAGTGCGGGAGGCCAGGGTCTGACAGCGCCGCCCTCCCTCCTCTCCCTGCTTTCTGTCACTGATTAGGTCACAGTAGTGTGGAACAGTGATGTGTCCTTAGCGTCACACGCACAGTTAACCCTCTTAGTCTCTATTTCCTCATTCTCCTCTCAGTCCCAGCAAGCCCAGCCCGCGGTCCCTGCAGGAGGGTTGGAGAATCTGTTGTTTGCAAACCAGTTCCGGTGGGAATCTTTGGGGCCTGCATGAGTTTTGAGGACAGTTTGGAAAGTCGGCCTTGGTGTGCTGTGGCGTTCTAACAGAAGCGGGCTCCACCCCGCCCTCGTTAGCCCTCCGTGAGGTTTTAGGTTTCTTTCACATACCTTGGCCCCTGCATCTCTGTCTAGGAGATGACTCCTAAGAATTGCTTATGTAGAACCACCTGAGCCCGGTAACGATTTTTCTTTTGTTTTTGTTTTTCTGTCCTCCTTGCCATTGGACAGAGTGCCTGTGGACACTTTTATTGTTGTTAGCCTATCAATTTTAAATTTTAAGTTTTTAAATAAGGTTTCGTGGTGACATTTCCACACATGCGTGTACTCTCCCTTACCCCGTCCTCCTTTTGAAAAACAATTCTAATAGGTTTCATGTTCCATTTTCATGCGTGAACATGAACTACTGTGACAATGTTTATCCTCATTCACCCTCTCCCCTCTAGCTAATACCTCCCTCCTCCTCCAACAGAGACTCTTTTACTTTCCTGTCATTTTCTTTTTAGTCTGTAGTAATGGACCAGAGGTTTCCCCACAGCAATTGAGACATGCATATATTGTATTCTGATTAGAATAACCCTGTCTATTGTTTTCTCTTTCCTTCTCCCCTCCTCCCCCCCCCCCCCGCCCCCGCCCCGTGGTTCGGAATCCTTTAGTATCTGCCACAGTGGAGGTTTGTAATGAAGTTGTGTGGTTTTGCTGTATTTGGAAGGTGTGAAGGGTCGTTCAGCTGGTCCACTAGCCTAGGCTGTGACCTTCTAGGCTTGGATCATGTCCTTCCACTCTCTCCTTGCACTTAGCGTTTGTGGTGAGAAGTCTGCTGCTATTCTAATGGCCTGGTGTGGTCAAATATTGAGCAGCAGAGTACCACAGTCCCATCTGTGAGCACGCAGCCGTGCCCGGGCCGGGCAGCCGGTCCTTGCTGCACCATGGTGGCCAGTCCTGGGGAGCTGACCCTGGGCGGGCTCAGAGAAGGCTGGAGTTAGAGGGAACAAGCCAGAGGGGGCAGATGAAATCGGCCAGGGTCCAACCTGGACACTCACTGCTTCTCGGGTCTCTGGCTTTGTCTCTGCTTCTGTCCCCAGTGCACAGTCTCCCCTCCCGCTCCCTCTGGCTTGGTACTTTGTCTGTCTGTCTGTCTGTACCTGTTTGGCTGTCACTGTGCGCATGGGCATTCTTTGGGCAGGGAGGCAGCACGTTCTAGACGTACGCTAGGCACAGTGCAGGTGGGGCTGCATGGACTGCAAGCAGGAGCTGGACAGCCCTGTGGCCTGCTCTTCCCAGCTGCAGAAACATAAAAGGATCAGACACCTGTGTGTGTGTACATGCGTGTGTGCGTATGCACACGTGCATGTGTGTCTGTGTTGATACTGGGTCTTCAACTCAGGGCCTAAACTTTTGCTTAGCTTTTTTAGCTTATAACACGTGCTTCCCCTCCAGCTGGTTAATTGGAGAGGAGCATCTCAAGAATTTACCCGCCAGGGCTGGCTCAGAGCCACGGTCCCTGCGTCTCAGGCCCCCCTGGGGTTTCAGGCATGAGTTACCAGCACCATGAGGCCCTTCTGCCCCAGGCAGTAGCGCGTCCAGGCGGCCGCCGGCTGAGGGCCACGCAGGCCGTGCTGGACCCGGGAGGACTCGCGGGAGAGGGGACACCAGCATCCCCAGAGCAGGGCTGGGGCTCTGTCCACATAGCCACACACTCGCCAGGGATCCTCCCCAGCCCTCAGTGCCCCTGAGTCTCAGAGAGACCCCCCCCTCCCCCCACCGGCTGCGCCCTGAGCTGAGCTCGCTTCCTGGAGCTGGAATGTTGTTCGTCATCTGAACATTTCCACAAACCACAGATTTCCATCTTTATAAGGGCCAGGAGAAAATGACTTGAGTTCGGCAAGCACCAGGGACGAGCTGGCCAGGGCCCGGGCCTCGCTGCCCTGCGCGGTCCCCTCCCTCACCCCAGACCTATTTCTGCCGACCATCTCCCCTCTGCCTTCCTCCTGCTCCGACGCCCCGGAGGCCAGGAGCCCCCCCCCTGCTCTCCCTCCACGATGGTGATAAGCAGGTGGCCACACAGGACCACGCAGGGGTGTGCAAGGCCCCCTCACGGGCCCCTGCCCTGTCCCGCAGTGGCCCCGGGACACTCAGGGGCCAGTAATGGACGCAGGTCACAGCGCCCCGGGTCAGTGCATTTAGCCCGCTCTACTGTTGGAAGCCCTGAGCCAATGGTGCTGTGTGCATTTGTAGAGACGGGGCTCTGGCTCCGGCTGGCGTACAGGCGTCAGGAAGTGCCGGTGGTGCCAGTCTCCATGTGTGGTGGCGACCGGGCTGAATGGACGGCTCAGAGGGTGGCCTTGGGATGAAAGGACCCCGAGCTCAGCTCCACTCTGACACACCATGTCTGCGTGCGCTCCTGGACTTCAAGGCTCATGTGGGGAGAATGGCCCTGATGTCCACATCGGGCGGTGCCACTCCTGCTCAGTTCTGCACACAGTCCGTCACGGGCCGCCTGGCTGGCT